CTGCCCAAAGAGATCTACGACGTCCTGAAAGGAATAGAGACCATCGGTGCGTTGTGAGGGAAGTCGAGCGAGAGAGAGTCACGGTTTTAAGTGGTTTTAGCTTTTCCTTTAGGGGTTTTAATTCTTCTGTCAATCATGACTTGTGTTCTGAATGTGTGTGAACGTGTTCTCTTTGACTGAAGGAGGTTCAGATGGACAGACTGAGGTTTAGCTGCTGGAGGTGTCGGTGTCGGTTCTAGTCATAGATCTTTGTGGAACCGAATGTCGTTTCAGGAGAGGATCGTCCGCTTCAGAGCAGAACTAACTCAATAACTGCGTGAGAGGATTCAGGTGTGATCGTATGCAGCGTTGAATTCATCTGATTCGGTCAGAGTAACTAAACCCTTTAGCACTTGTGGAAATAGTCCATGCGCTTGGATGCCAGATGAGCCCGGTGCACGAGAGACTCGACCGACGCTGGGGCTGATGCTGACTCCGTGACAAACGCTTCAGTAAATCAGGTTCTCATTATCTGCAGATTTGTTGAAATGGCAGCAGATCAGTGTTTGTTCTGTTATTAAATGTTTTTTTTCTAATTTAATCCTCTTGAATTTATACTGACTAGTTTGTTTTGATTTGATTAATGTACTAAGATGACCAAACTGGACTTCACTAAACACATTTTCAGTAACCATAGAGTCACATATCAAAGGGCTTTGAGCTGTTCGCTGTTGTTTTTCACCCCTTACTGATTCATTTATTATTTACAATACTTTAATAATCGTGGAATCAATTTAAGCCATATATGGGTAAAAATAGATTTTTTTGCTGGGAAAACTTCAATCATAGTTGCCTTACGTCACAGTGCGTTGTTCATGTGTTTGACTGTTTCAATACAACGCTCTCATTCTTGAGCTGAGCTTGTGCTTGAATGAGTTTCAGTGTCATCTAAATGTCACGCTTTATTACGGTCTTGTATTGACACACTTATTGGAAGATGATTGTGTATATATGGTCAATAGCTGGTCAGATTTCCAAGGCACCACCCTTACAGAACTCTATACCACAATAATGAAAGTTTCCTCTAAAATAAGAATTACTACACTCGGATCATAACAAATAAATATGATAAATGATTCAAACTGTCTAAGAGTCTTTTTCAGAATCTCTTTGATTTCTCCATCATTGGAATGTTTATGAAAAGGATGGCTAATAACTAGTAACTACTGTGGTGAATGTGTGTGAGGGTAAACGCAACAGCAGCATGAGCTCAACACCCGTGTTTTGAATGAAGTTTTGAAGTTTTTGCTGCGTGTTACTCATAACCTTGAAGATAGTTCGTTGACCAATGCCTTTCCACCATCAGATCTCTCTTCTACTCTTCTAGGAGCTATGAAACCAGTCTGTTTAGTTTATTTTTTTAATTTTTTTTATTTGGGGTCATTTAAGTAAAAATGACATTTATAGATATATTTATAGAAATAATGTTGTGAACCAAATATGTAGTGGAGAGTGGGGCGGGCGACTAAAACGAACCTGTCTCATGATGGTCTAAACCCGGCTCACATCAATCACATCCATCAAATATGGAAATTGAGTTCTCTTATTTGTTTGATGCTGATTCCTGTAGTCCGCTACAGTATCACATCAGATAGTGTGCTATAGATCCCCTGAGAAACAACTCCACTCATTCTCTCATCAAAACCTGCTTGAACAATAGATCCTATTCAATCTAAGCTACTTAAAGAGGTGCTTCCAGAAGTCATAGATCCTCTTCTGAATATTATTAATTTGTCAATTGTCATTAGGATATATTTTTTTACCTTTATTTATATAGCGCTTTATACAATATTGACTGTGTCAAAGGAGCTTTACAGTGTCAACAGGAAAATAGTTTCAATAATGCAAGAGGACAACAGTCATTTTTTCCTGAAGTCAGTTCATTGATGATTCAGTGATGTCAGCATTCAGTTCAGCTCACTTCCAAAAGTGTCTCTCTTCAATCAGGATATGTCCCAAAAACCTTCAAACTGGCTGTAATTAAGCCTCTTGTTAAAAAAACAACTTCATCCTAGAGAATTAGTTAATTATAGACTGATCTCAAATCTCCCTTTTCTGTCAAAAATACTAGAAAAGGCAGCATCTTCACAATTATATTCCTTCTTAGAGAAAAATGGTATCTGTGAGGATTTCCAGTCAGGATTTAGACCGTATCATAGTAGTGAGACTGCTCTCATTAGAGTTACAAATGACCTGCTCTTATCATCTGATCGTGGTTGTATCTCTCTATTAGTGCTGCTGGATCTTAGCGCTGCGTTCGACACTATTGACCACAACATTCTTTTGAATAGACTAGAAAATTTTGTTGGCATTAATGGAAGTGCATTAGCATGGTTCATATCGTACTTATCTTACCGCCATCAGTTCATAGCAGTGAATGAAGAGGTATCATATTGATCACAAGTGCAGTATGGAGTACCTCAAGGCTCAGTACTAGGGCCGTTACTCTTCACGCTTTACATGTTACCCTTGGGAGATATCATCAGGAAACACAGTGTTAGCTTTCACTGTTAGCTGATGATACTCAGCTCTATATTTCTTCACAGCCCGGCGAAACATACCAATTTGCAAAACTAACAGAATGCAAAGTCGATATAAAAAACGGGATGACGAGTAATTTCGTACTGCTAAATTCTGAAAAAACAGAGGTGTTAATTATAGGACGTAAAACCTCCGCATGTAATAACCTAGAACACTGTCTAACACTTGATGGCTGCTCTGTCAATTCTTCGTCATCAGTTAGGAACCTAGGTGTGCTATTTGTTAGAAATCTTTCCTTAGAAAGCCACGTTTCTAGTATCTGTAAAACTGCATTTTTCCATCTCAGAAATATATCTAAATTACGACCTATGCTCTCAATGTCAAATGCAGAAATGTTAATTCATGCGTTCATGACCTCAAGGTTAGATTATTGTAATGCTTTATT